GTGTATATCTGTTGGTAAATTGCAGTGTAATAATGTTAACAGGGAATCGAGTGACTGATAGTGTAATTATAGCCATAAAACAGAGAATAGCGAATAATTTGTGGCATTTCTTACAACGAAAGGCAACTTTAGTGCCAGAAATGAGGTGCGAATTACTAATCAATTCATCTGTTGTTCACTTGATTTCCTCAGCGGTAAGTGTTGTCTCAAAATCATATAATCTCTCTTATAATACAGTCGTATATCTTATAAATGAGTAGAAAAGTACTACTTATTGAATCTCACGTCAGGTTTTTTAAAGCGAAGAAAAAATTTTGTTTTCATCCTTTGATTGGAAATAGATATGAAAATTGCAGAAAAAATACTATCAAATAGTCGACTCTATCTTTAGACTTGATTTACGTAAATGGAGTGCAGAATAACAAGTGTTTATGTCGTTTACGTTTACCTGTAATTTAAGTTTCAATAACTTTATGCAAACTTTTATATACATAGGAATATGTGTCACACCAGCGATTACACACACACATACACACACACACACACAACATATGAATAGGTGGTGTGTTTAAAAAATGATTGCAATTATTAATAGCGATTGTATATATCATAGGTATCGACGTAAATGAGTAGTTAGTTATTGAGAGTTAAATATATACTGCAGTCTCACTCGCGTATTGAGTCAGTCCGCAGAGCTATTAAGTCAGAGAAAAAGGGAGGCATAAGAAAAAGCAAAGCAAAACACGTTTTAGTGATTTGTTTGAAGAAATCTAATTTAATTCAATGACGTTCTTTAGCGAGCGTTAGGCCTTACATCCCAATCCCATGGTTCAGGTGCTACATGTCGTGAGTCAGGTAGACATCAGTTCCGTTTTCAGTGTGCAATCGCGGCTATGCTATGCTATAGCCATACCTTCAGAAAAAATAAATGCTTCCGAAGTGTGTGTTGACTGGCATTTGAGTTAAGAAACTGCTTCTCATTAGTGGTTATCCTTCTGTTGGATAGGAGAGAGAGACAGAGAGGGAGAGAGCGCTCACTCCAAGACCACATCCAACACGAGTTTGAACTTAATGTTTGACAAACAAAAACTTATTATTGAGAACACAATCGTAATACTCGTCATACAAATCAGATGCCTATTCATATGAGACATCAATCTCTACATTCATTCATCGATGATCTGCTCCAGAGTTAACTCTAACACTAATTTAATTTAAGTTTCTTGTGTGCTGTGTATCTCATAATTTATTACTTCAGTTATTAACTTATTATTAGTATTATTGATATTTTCAATAAACATTCATTTTGTGATACTATTTCAAAAGTTTGAAATGAAGTTTAAAAACAGTGCAATGATTTCAAAACTTTATTATAATGACTACTCATTGAAATTCTCAAATAAACTTTTAAATAACTTGAGCTCTAATTACGGGAATTTTGTTAAAAACGTAAGTAATTCTTATGATATATTGTTTGTTGAATTCCGAGTGTTATTTGTTTAACACACAATGTTTTTTGCACATTTGTGTTACTACAGTATTTAGTGTCAATTATAATGAAGTTTTCAAAACTTTTTTGTCACTACTTTTTCTTATTATTATTACTATTATAACTCTATTAATAAAAAGTTTCGAAAATGAGTTTACATTTCTCTTGACGTCAATTCACTTAACAATGAGTTTTGAAACTTATTTTCAATTCACATCTAAATTGTTTTCAAGTCTCAATAGAAGGACATTCAGAATGTGTGGAAAGAGTTGTTAAAATAAATATATTTAATTAGTTTTCATGTTCTCATCACTCTTTAGGAGCACTTCGCCAACGAATCAGATATTGTGGCCGAAGAGGAAGAGAGCGCGAAGAATGAGAACATAAACATCAATAACAGTAAGAAATCGCCGCAAATATCAAACGCGAGGTCGCGGTGGCAGGCGTTGGCCAGGAGTGCGTTCGTCCGCAACCATCACAACAAGACATCGCAGACATCGGCCAACAATACGGTCAACACCGACGCCAAGAACCACACGAATGGTGTGGTGGGCGGCAATCACCTGAAGGAGAACCACACGAATAGTGTTGTACTCGAACTCTTCGCGTTGAACTCTCTGGAGTTGAGCGCACCGGCCAGTGATATCATACTGAAGAGCCGGTCCCAGAATTGGGTGCAACTGTCGGGACACGAGGACTCGTTCGCGTTGGCCGGACCCGGAACCATATGGAAGAAGCGCTCCTCAGACGACACGGAAGTGCGCGCCTACGAGGCCCTCATGAATGACTCCATGTGTGAAATGGTGCCAAAGTTCTTCAGAGACGTCTTCTATAACGGCGACTATTTCATCGAATTGGAGGACCTGTTGTTCGAGTACAAAGACGCGGCCATAATGGACATAAAGATGGGCACCCGAACCTTCTTGGAGGACGAGGTGACCAACACGAAGGCGCGCCAAGACCTGTACGACAAGATGATCAAAATCGACGCCACGGCGCCCACCGAACTCGAGCACCAGCAGAGGGCTGTCACCAAACTGACGTACATGAAGTTCAGGGAAGCCCTGTCCTCCTCATCCAATCTGGGCTTCAGAATCGAAGGCTTCAAAGTACGCTCACAACTGTTCCCTAATCTACTGTTCCCTAATCTCACACTTAATCTGTCACTTGACTCACGACTCACTCTTTCCCTATATTTTCCCATAATTTATGCAATTATTCTCATCGATTGCCTTATTATCTGTATTGCACTGACAGGCCGGGGAAGACTTGCAGCTCTGCAAAGACCTTAAGCTCGTGAAGCACAGGGAGGAAGTGAAGGCAACACTGGAAGCCTTTCTGATGCACAAGAATCAGGTGCGCCTTAAGCTCATCGATCGCCTCAAACAGTTGGCGCTGCGGTTCGAGTGCTCCGAGTTCTTCAACAGCCACGAAGTGATCGGCAGTTCGCTACTCATCATACATAACGGCAAGAGCGCCGGCGTCTGGATGATCGACTTCGCCAAAACCATTCCCGTGCCGGAGGGCCTCACCATTGACCACAAATCTCAGTGGCATTTGGGTAACCACGAGGACGGCTACCTCTTCGGACTCAATCATCTGATCGACATATTAGAAGAATGCGGAGACGATTAGGCGTTGATAGCAATGTCAACCACTGATTGTCTGTTAATTATTATAATTATTTATCTATAAATCAATTCATGTGACTTCAGACATCAAAATCAAAGCTACAAAAATACACCCAAATCTACGATTATGACTACCATTTCCTTTTGTAATTTGATTTTCTGTGCCAAAAATGTTCATTATATCAAGTATTTTGTACATAATTTATTACATAATTACCATGTTTATTATGTATTTTACATCGAAAAAACATTTAATCAATTAATTAAAATAGAAATGAAATAATTACCAGAATACATTTTATGTATTAAATATATTGTGTATGAAGTAATGATTTTAAGAGATAATGACATGTAAATTGAGTAAAATAATTATGGCATCGATTCGGTTAAATAGCTAAAAATGGTTAAAAATGGCCACAAAATCATCGGTGAGTTTTACTACAGACCTAACACGGCTGCCACACTGGACTCTATTCGTTACTATACAGGATGTCTGTGCTCTGGCCTACAATTATGTCTGTCCAGCGTATAGACGGGTGGCTAAGCTCTGTATCATTTTAGTGACGGGTCTTCGTCTGATAACTTCAACAGAGATTTCTTAATGCGAAGTGCAGTCAAACGGGCGGACGGGTTGTGAGCCCACGACTCGCGCATTATTTTCTCCAGATTTGATAAAAGCTGATAACAAACGACACATTTATTCGTAACAAATAATTGCAATTTTGCTAACTATGCAAACAAACATACATTGTTTGTGAGCCATCGGTCGGGTATGTGAGGTCTCTGTTGGTCAACGCAGACAACTTTCCTCATGTCTTCAAAGCTCGGGTCGGTTGGCACACATTTGCTGAACGGAACGCTGTATTCATCATAATATCCATCGATTCGTGTCCGTCGAACCACTTCCCAGAAGACTAGCGCTAATGAGTATCTGTTTTGTGGCAAACAATCATCCGATTAGTACTCAGAATATCATCAAAATGTGTAAAAGCACTGACATGTCAGCCATTTTGTACGACTCAAACACGTCACTCTTCATGGTGTTGTCGAGCACTTCGGGAGCCATATATCGTTTGGTACCGACTCTATGGTTCTCCGCGACGTCCACTTTGCCGGTGGTTTGGGTGTGAGTGACCGCCAGACCGAAGTCAGCGATACAGCAGTTGTCCGCGTCTTTCATGAGAATATTCTTCGACTTTATGTCTCTGTGAGCGATCGCAGGCTTTCCTAAACCGCCAAAAATCTCTGTGTGTAAGTGAAGGACACCCGATATGATGGACAACAGGATTGACAGCATCTGCTTGGGCTCGAGGGGCGTGTCGTTGAGGTAGTCGTACAGCGAACCCAACTCGTGGTAACTCGTGATCAGCCATAACTGAGTGCACGAGTTATACGACGTGACGTCGGAGCCGAGGAAAGCCAAGACATTCTCGTGTCTCAACATAACCGTCGAGTAGATCTCAGTCTCGCGATTCCAGGACAACTCGTCGCGACTGAAGAATATCTTGACGGCGATGTTGTCCGACTGCCAGATGCCGCGCCAGACCTCGCCGTAGCGGCCCTTCCCGATGCACTCCTCGAGATGGATCTGTTTGGCTAACGTCCGCTGTATGAGTAGCGGCAGACCAGAGCCCGAACCCGATGTCACCGAATGCTCGAACACTTCGCGAAGAGTCGAGTCGCCGGCGGCGGTCACCCGAAGGTCTTCATTATAGGTGCAGTCATTGCCGTTGCGGTCCATACCGTTGGGAGCACTCAAACCCGTGCGCAACAAATGAGACATTTTTTGCTTGTGTTTTGAACGCAACCGGAAGATCACGAAAGACACGAAACCAATGATTATGAACGCCAGCAATACGCCGAAGACAATGAACGCCGAGTCCATACCGAACCCATTGTGACCACCGGTGGGCACATTACCGGTGCCGCCACCGCCTGTAGTAGTCATAGGGTTGCCTATTGTCTGGTCGATGGTTGGGAACCAGTTGTTGCAGAGCTCATGGCGGCAACAGTAGGCGCTGTACTGTTGATTGGATCGCATGAAGACTTCATGGGTTTCGTTGATTTTGACACTTTTGGGTCCGCAGACCATATGCTGCTGTCCGGCCCCCAGACAGCCCTTCCTATAGCTTAAATATTGATTCACTCGTCAGTTAAGAAAAGTTGTGTTTTTCGAAAATATGAATTCATTGAAAACAAATTGAAGGAAATAAATGTTTAGTTCATTTAACTTCACTGTAGATCTGATTGGGAATCCGAATGGCTTTCAAAAAAGTAATGCAAATTCATGTACCGATAAATGCATAACAGAATTGAAAGAATTTTATTTATAATAAACATCACATGATGTGTTCATTTCATAAGACATCTAATCATTTTCGTGTGAATACATGAATCGTTAATTTTTTGCGGCAAAAATTTGTTTCTTGGTTTTATATTTTTGTTTTGAATATGATTTGCATTATTTTCTTTTGATATTTCTTTTTGATTAGTTTACACATCAAATAACTTATCAAACATTTCCATTTGACGCGATGTTTAAGTATAAAACACAAATTTTCATCAATGATTGCCATTAATTTAGTCTTTAAGGACCCGGTATATGTATGATAACTACCATTTGGCATGAAATTCAGTTCAAGTGTTTGATTTATAAGAAGTGGTATACATAGGTTTAACCTTAGAGTTAATGTTTATTTTATACAAATAAATATACGGTATTAGTACCGGAGCCTTGCATTACCTGGTGTTTGAATGGTATGGCAAACAAACTACAAGTGCCAGAACCCAACGAATTCTTTGTGGAAATAACTCTAATACTAGTTATTAATGGTTTTGTTATAAAGGATATACAGTACTCTTTTCAATCATCAATGTAGACGATGTAGTCGTTAGCATAGGGTATCTGGGAATTAGAGGCATAGGCTCTCAATGTTGTACCTGTTTTGGTGGGCAAACAATTTTTATATTTCAAATGTATTTCAATGCTCAAACTGGAAATAGTGTGTATTTATATTTATTTGTATTTAAAAATCGGTCAAAATTGACGTCAATTGCAAATTGCAATGAGATTATCGGCACTGACTGTGGAAA